CATTTTTATTGATTTCGGAGAGGAAGGGAGAGGGAGAGAGAGAGGGAAACATCCATGATGGGAGAGACTCATGGATCGGCTGCCTCCTGCACGCCCCCCACTGGGGATCGAGCCCACAACCCGGGCCTGTGCCCTGACTGGGAATCAAACCGTGACCTCCTGGGTCACAGGTCGATGCTCAACCATTGGGCCACACCGGCCGGGCTTCAGTGGCTTTCATACCTATTTACTAGTCACTTCAGTAAAGGTGCTTCCAGCTCCTCCTCACTCGTCCGCTTGATGAGAATGACTTGGGCTGCTCTTCGGGAAAGTACAGACACGGGCCACAGTGTGTCCTGGGTGACGGGGCAGCAGGTGGTCCCAGGTGCTGGCTTCCGCACCCTGTGGAGACCGAAGCCTACAGAGCCCCTCCGGGCACTGAACTTGTGGTCCACTAGGAACTGCTGTCTTGTTATCAGAAACGGAGCAGTGGGCTCTGAGAGATGCGCTCACGAGCTCGGGGCCAGCCCGGGGCCAGCCGGTCCTGCCATTGGCCTGCACCCCTCACTCCTTGTGGGGTGGTGCGTCCCTGGCGCCGCGCCCCGCCCCCGCGTGGGGAGAGGCTGGCCTGTGTCCGAGCTGCGTCCTGAACTGTCGGCTGCCGATGAGAACCCGCCACCACTGAGGGGAGAAACGGGAGCAGCAGCGAGGCCACGGCCGCACCGGACCCTCCTCTCAGAAGAGCAAGCCCCTGCGAGCTGGTGCAGAGGGGCCGTGGCTCCAGGCAGGCGCTGACCTCGGAGCGGCGTTCCTGCAGGTCCCTTCAGGGTGTGTCCCGGGTGTGGGCACTGCTGTAGAACAAAGTCCATTTCCCCATGGAGCCCGGGCTGTTCCGAGGCGGGGCCCTCATGGTGTCCTTGCCCAGCGCAGTGTCCCGTCCCCACACGCGCAAACATCAGACCCACGCCCCCAGCTGCAGAGACAGTTCCTCTGGGGCTGCAGGTCGTGCCCACTGGGCCGTGCAGGCAGGAACTTCTCCCTTCTCTCCACTGGTCTGCAGGTGCAAGGCCGGGCCTGAAATCCTGTCTGCAGGTTCAAGGCCGGGCCTGCTCCCTGGTCTGCAGGTGCAAGGCCGGGCCTGCACCCCCGTCTGTAGGTGAAAGGCCAGGGCAGAGTCCCCTCCTCTGAGGTTCTGGGAACAGGGCCTTGAGAAATGGTCTCTGTGCTGCAACCGCAGCTTCAGCCGCCAGCCGCCTCTAGGGACGCAGCCTCTGCAGGAATCCCTGTGACAAACACGTGTGATTAGGAAATGCAATGTCCGGAGCTCCGAGAGCAACCCCGTGTTCTGTCTGTTCCTCCGCAAGATGGAATTGGGAGTTTATTAGAGGAGGGATGTGTGTGCCTCCATTTTTTCATTTATTGGAAAATCAAAGCTCACGGAGGTTACATGCAGCCCTAAACAATACAGCGAATCGCCTCAAACAAAACCATCCCCCGATGTTTTTACGGGGGGCGGGGTGCATGCAGGAGGCAACCGGTCGGCTATCTCTCCCCCATCGGTGCCTCAAACAAAACCATCCCCCGATGTTTTTACGGGGGGTGCATGCGGGAGGCAACCGGTCGGCTGTCCCTCCCACATGGGTGTTCTCTCTCTCTCTCTCTCTCTCTTCCTGACTTTCTCCCTCCATCCTTTCCATTCTCTCTGAAAAATCAGTGGACCTCCTAGGTGAGGATTACAAAAAGGAAAAATGAAGAAAAGAAAATGAACGAGGTCTCGTCGGACACGGATGGCCCAGGGCCAGCGCTCTGTTCTGTGGAAACGAAGGGTACGTTGCTAAGAGCAAAGAAAAAAAAAAAAAGAAAGTCTGCAGAGGGGCCTGCGCGGTCCTTTATCGTTGATATTCATATACATAAAACATCTCTGCAAGGAAAAGCAATAAAACGTTATTGGTGGCTGCCTTCCCAGAAGCCACTGGGGCTGGCGCGGGGGGTTCGGCAGGCTCGCTTTTAATCGCATTGCCCAGTGAATAATTCATTAATGGAAACACAAACGTACGCCCTGTTTTGCAAGATTGTTCTGGGGATGAAACGCGTGAGCGCCTGGGAAATGCCTCGCCGGCTGCAGAGGCCCACGCCACGCTCTGCAAACGGGCGAGGGGCCTCCGGGCTGACCGCGGAGCGGCCTCTGACCCAGCAATCCCGCTCGCGGGCATTTATCAGAGAGACACAAGCTCGAGCCTGAGAAGAGACGTGGCCTGTCTGGCTGCAGCCTCGCTCACAACAGCCGAGCTGTGGACGCAGCCCAGTGCGTCGGGACGAGCGGGTGCGGGAGCCGAGGTGCGAGGTGCGTGCACACCATGGAGGTCTACTCCGCCCTCGGGGACGGAATCCCCCCACTGCACAGCGTGGAGGCCGGAGGGTGTGACAAGGTGGAGTGAGTCAGGTGGAGGAAGACAGTCCCCTGTGAGCTCACTGCTATGAGGCATCTAAAGAGCAAAATAGGGACCAAACGAAACAGGAACAGACTCATAGATGCAGAGAACGGACCGGTGGTGGCCGAGGGGAGGGGTGGAGGGCCTGGTGGAAAAGATGAGGGGACGGAAAAGGACAGATTGGCAGTCACGGAACCGTCGCGGGCGGAAGGTACAGCACAGGGACTACAGTCAATAACGTTGCGATAGTTATGCATGGGGCCAGGTGGGCACTGGGAATATCGGGGGGACCACTGTAAATTATATGATTGTCTAACCACTGAGCTGCACACCCAAAACTAGTACAAAATACCCCATCCCCCAATCCCCCCACACCCGTGTCTCTCCACCAGACCAGTGCGTGGGCCAGCAGCAGGGGCCAGAGACCAGCTCCCTCACCACCGGGGCATGGGGGGGGGGGGTGTCAGGCAGAGAACGGCTTCGTTCTATTATTTACAAAACGCATTAGAAGTCGGCCACTGAGGCCTGAAAAGCAGCCTCCCATGGCCCCGGTCCTGGAACTCCTCACGCAGCACAGACGGCTGCCGGGGGCCGAGCAGGGAGGAAGCAGGACAGGACAGGGCTGGCCCACAGGAGGGTCACCAGGACACGCACACGACTCGGA